CTTGCTATCCCTCAATAATAGGTTGTGTGATGTTTAGTTAAATAACTCTAGGTGCCTATGTCTTGCATGATCTTATATTTGCCCTGAATGCTATTATATGATTCATCTCATATTACCATTCTTCATATTCATGCACTTGCATCTTGCATCTCATCTAGGTATGCTAGATGAACCACGTGAAGGACATGATGTTGGAGCTGAACCCGAAGACGGTGTATGGTGGACCTATCCCGAAGATGGAAGGACTGGACAAGTGCTAGGATGGGAGATACTCGCCAAGCGAGCGTCATCTAACAAACGTTGACCTAGTGTTGGATCCTAGGCAAGCCCCATAGCATTCTAAGCCTCCTATGTTTTTACAAATATCACTTGAGTTCTTTATGTTTGATGCATTAGGTTATAAGATTTGATTGGAACCACTTGATGCATAGAACTACCTTGTCTAGAAATATACCTTGAACCCTATGTAGGTCCAGGATCGAATGTATGCTTAGAAATGCTTAGAATGGTAGAAGTTGGGTGATTTCGTGTCACCTGCGTGATATAGGTGGATACCAAAGCATGCTTGGCTATATTTGCTATCATGGAAATAACCATGTGTTAGTAATGAATGGAGACCGGGCGGGGTGTCGATAGAGAAGCAACAAGACATGGAGGTCTTGGGTGTGGATCTATCCCCGTCTGTGTCGGTTAAGGACTGATTCGCTGTACGTCCTCATGTCATGTTGAACGCATGCCTATAACTTAGTTGGCCAGATAACTCGTTCTAACCGTGAAGCCAAGTAGCTCAACTCAAGCCGGAAGCCGAGAAGTGAAAGTGCGCACTCTGGCGATAGTAAGGATGTGTGGGGAGCCATTGGCGTAAGTCCAAAGGCTAGATTGACGTCCTAGCAGAGTGGATTCCGTGAGAGTGCGGCGCTGCTCAGACCAACGAATTTGTTCCTGAGCTGTACCAAAGGTGACCTAAGGCAACCACTTATCAGGTTGATTGGGTGTGTTAGGAATAATTCCCCAGCTGGGTAGGAATCGATTCTAATCATCGTCTCTCCCGGATAGTGAGAACATGACTGAGCAGCGGCAACATAGAATAACTTAATGGAAACTTGATAGTTATGATAATGATACTCACATTTCTACACCGGCTATGGTTACTATTGCCTATTACTAAATGATATCCCCACATGTTTGGCACAGGTTAGTTGCTAATCTAGAGATGAATAGCTATAATTAACTTGGTTACTGAATTGTAAAATGTACAGCTCAACCCTTGGCTTTTATGCAAAATGTTGTTAAGTTAGCTCCACCTATAAAGCCTTGCATACTATTTGGTATCACTTTATTTCTGGTTTATGACGGGTAAGTCTAGCTGAATACATTCGAGTACTCAGGGTTTATCCCACCATGTTGCAAGTGAAGTTCTCGGCCTGCTGAAGATGGTGGCTAACCGCCGGTGGGCTCAGTGACTCTATTTATTTCTCATCTATATGCTTTTATCCAAGGATGTCACTTACGCTAGCAATGTATTTGGAACTTATATTAATGTAATCATTTGAAGGCTATGTTGTTTTCACTAATCGGTTTTGAAACCCAAACTTGTACTATTATTTGTGAACCCATTTGTAATATTATTTCCGCTACAACTATGTGTATGTGATGTGATATGATTAATCATACGATCTTGGTTGTGATGTTGATTTACTGAGGTCCTTCGTGACACTCGGGGGACTACCGGGTTTATATAAGTGAAAGTATGCGTGTGTCAACGTGTTAGCGGGGATAGCCGTACTTGATCTTGTATAAATTGGGTGGTTCTGTCATAGCAGCCACAACAAAATCCTGCAGCGTTGCATCCCCACCGAGCAGGGGAAGGACCTGCTGGAAGACATCCATGGAGGGGTCTGTGGACATCACGCCGCACCTAGAACCTTGGTCGGAAACATATTCCGGCAAGGTTTATACTAGCCAACCACAGTGGCCGACGCCGGGCAGGTCATACACACCTGCAAAGGATGCTAGTACTACACTCGGCAAACTCACCTGCCGGCCCAAGTGCTCCAGAAGATCCCCATCATGTGGTTGTTCACGGTCTGGGGGCTTGACCTGGTAGGGCCCCTCAATAGGGCGCCCGGGGGCTTTACGTACTTACTTGTCGTCATGGACAAGTTCACGAAGTGGATAGAGGATTGGCCGATCACCGTGATCAAATCCGAGCAGGCCGTGTTATTCTTCACGGACATCATCCACCGATTCGGTGTCCCAAACTCTATCATAACCGACAATGGCACATAGTTCACGGGGAAGAAATTCCTCCGGTTCTGCGCCGACCACCACATCCACGTTGATTGGGCTGCCGTAGCGCACCCCCGCACGAATGGGCAGGTCGAGCACAGGATCTTCAACCGGCTGAACAAAGCTGGTGGAAGGTGGGTCATGGAGCTCCATTTGGTACTCCGGAGCCCAAGGACGTCCAGCAGTCGGGCAACCAGTTACACGCCATTTTTCATGGTCTACCGCTCTGAAGCCATCCTCTCGATCGACCTCGACTACGGAGCGCCAACGGTCAAGGCCTACAACGAGCAGGGAAACGAAGCATCTTTGGAAGACGCCATGGACCTGCTTGACGAAGCACGTGACATCGCCCTGGTCCGTTTGGCCAAATACCAGCAGGCGCTATGATGGTACAATAGCCGACGCGTGCGGGGTCGCGCCTTCGGCGTAGGCGATTTAGTCCTTCGCCGCATCTAGAGCAACAAAAATTGCCACAAGCTTTCGGCGCTGTGGGAAGGACCGTACATCATCGTAGAAGTACTCCGACCCGACACCTATAAGCTAAAGACTGATGATGGCAAAGCCATCGCCAACGCCTGGAACATCGAGCAGCTACGTCGCTTTTACCCTTAGTCTTCCTGTTCCAAAGCTTCCAATATGCTTATCAAACTAAGTAATGTTTCTGCAAAAACCAAAAAATGTTACCTCATATTGGGTTCACTTCTGATCTGATCAGTCTTCAGTAAACACCTGACCCCGGCAACTACCTGGGGTCAGGTTTTACTCAGGGACTGATAGGAGTACATATACTCAGAAACATTTTCCCATCCGACCCTTCTTTTTTATGACAAGACCTAGAAATAAGAGTTGTCGAAAACTAACGATGAGTAAAACTAGTCAGAATGCAAAAATCCTATGCCCCGACGGCTACGGCATCGCTTGCTCACCAGCGTGATCATTACTTAGTCGCTCGTAACTTAAGTTTCTAATGCCTTAACATAAAACAAGGTTCGGATCACAACAAACTTTATATTTATGGACGCGTGAGGAACGACGATCACAAGACGAACCGACCCCCCCGACCAGACCCCTGCTACGCGCGGGGGCTCGGGGGCTCGGCATCGCAAAGAGAACGAACACGCGGTCGCAGACAAACGACGAGTCACCTCCGATTGCGGAAACCGCGGATGGAGTGACGCAAGAAACCAGGCGATCGACCCCGAACAGTACTCCCGTGCGCCCATACGCAGCTCACCATCCTACAAAGCGACAATAACGAACAGTACTCCCGTGCGCCCTCAAACGACGGATCGCAAAAAGAATTAGCAGGAGTGTCACACTCCTCCAAAGGCTCGGAGGCTACTGTCGGATATCTATACCCAGGTATCCGAGCCAAAGGAATAATGAGCGTCACGTCGCCTCATCCGATGGTTAAGGATGCAATTGTGGCCTCGTCCGACCCCTAGGAGCTGAGCCACGCCTCGTCCGACTCCGAGGATGAGGTTTCTGCCTCGTCCGACCCCAAAGCGTGGGCTCCGACTCCGAGGACGAGGTTTCCACCTCGTTCGACCCCAAGGCATGGGCTCCAACTCCTCCGTCCCTAGAGCGCGGGCTCTGACTCGCCCGGTCCCACTAGGAGGGCTCCGCCTCGTCCGACCCCCGAGGGTCGAATTCCGTCTCGCCCAGCCCCTAGGGCGAGATTTCCGCCTCGCTCGTTCCCTGGGGGTCGGATTTGCTGCTGGACAAAAGCAGTGGCCTCAGGGTGGGACCTGAACCGCTTCAACCAGTACGGCGTGGAGGCGTATGCCCGGGAGCACATCTTGGGCACATCCTAATGCGACTAGCGGTCGCATAGGGCCATGCTGGGAGACACATCGCCCACCGCGACAACAGGCTAGCATTGTGCTGCCAACTCTCTGCTTGACCATCGTCCAACGTCAATCAACTGGCGTCAGTTGACTGGCACTGTACCGCCAGCCCCCGTATGGCCTCTGTTAGGGGACCCTTTGATCATTCCGTCTGCTCAGATGGGATCGAAGACAAGAACGACGCACGACGTCCGCACATATGCTGCAGCGGCTAACAGGACCCCGGTGCGACGCCGTTGCCACCACGATCTACAGGGTCAGCGGGACCCACGCGAAGTGGAGGACAGCACATCCCCGAGAGCCTTATTTCTTTTTTCCCTCTTCCCTTCTCTCGGTCTCTGGTATCATATTCTCTCCTCTTGGTCTATAAAAGGGAAGGCAGAGCACCGTTCACCGATAGATCGAGCAGTAGAAGCATCGAGCAATCGAACCACAGAGACTTGGGAGCTCCTCCCTCTCTCGTCAGTTTGTAACCCCTACTACAAACTCAGTGCTGGTAATACTAGCAGCCCGAAACTGAACGTAGGGACATTCGGCCCGAACCAGTATAATCCTTGTGTACTCTTAGCATACCATCCGGGTCAGACGCGCAATAATACAAATTTACTAGTCTGCTGTTCGAAACACGGTACTATTTTCCAATGTGTGTTGAGCTTTCTGTTTGTTGCCTGTTGCTTGTCCACTGGGCTCATACTGTCCACATGCCAAAGTGAACATAACCACTGGTCTTTAAGAACCGTAAGTCGTCGCTTTTTCTGTTTGGTTTGCATTTAGACCATGGTACGCAAACAATGTGTGACTCCAGTCATATGAATTGCTGAACTCTGTACAGATACAAGTATCAGTTCACCCAAAACTCAAGAAATGCCTGCGGTGGCGCTGAGATGTGGGCTGATTATAAGAGGACAGAAGATGTATTCTGTCCAGCAGGTTACTACTGCCCAACGGGAACATCCAAAAAGTCCTGTAGCAGCGGGTAAAGATCTTATCCTATCATTCCTCTCTCTTTCTTCGCATGAATGTTTACAAAATTATTTGACTTGGTCATGTTGCTTCCTCTTTGGCTTTTATTCAGGCACTATTGCAGGTTGGGTTGCACCACTGAAGATAGTAAGCATTATCTGCCAGATATCTGATCCTGCAGTTTCATTTCTAATCTCACGTTCATAGCAATTGTCCTTCAGTATGCTGAATTCTGATTAAAATCGCAGAATGCATAATAAAAGACTTCTGTAAAGAGAACACAAAAAATGAGAGCATATTTGTGCTTGGTGCTTGCTTGGTGGTAAATCCTCAAAAAATCTCATCATTTTACATTTTTGATGCCATGCTATCTTACATCTTATAGTAATGTTCTTTGCAAATCTCTGATCCATTAACCCTAGTAGATTTCAGCGCATAACCTCCTATGAGTATAAAAATTGTAAATCGCAATTTGATGCAGGGTGCATTGAGTGTGGTGCTTTTTATCATATATAACTTCTCAGATCAGTTCCTCACAATCCGTGAACGGAGAGAAACAAGATCGAGGGAGGAAGCCATTAAGATGGCTAGGCAGCAGATCAGAGCACAAAAGCACTGGAAGGTGGCAAAACAGCTATTGAAGAGTCATGTAAACAGAAGGCAGAGTGATGTTCCTCACACGTTAGGGTCCTTTGCTCAACATGCACATAGAGAGAACTCTACCCATAGAACGGAAGAGACACCAATGGTTCCACTGAAGGCACAGGAACTATCAGAAGCTTCAGTGTTTGAGAGTGAAGGCACGAACGAGATATCTGAATCTGCTTCGTCAGTTGTGGTGATTTCGAGTGGTGGTGGGGAAACTGCTGTTACCAAGAACAAATGTGCCCTGAAAGGAAAGCACAGATCAACACTCTCACAAAGATTCAAGTACGCATATGTGAGTATTGAGAAGGAGAAGATCGAGGAGCAAGAAAACAAGAACCTTTCCTCCAGTAGTGTCATTATTACGGTGAGTGAACAGAATGAGATATCTAGGCCTTTGCTTAAAGTTGAGTTCAAGGACCTTACCCTGACACTAGGGAAAAACAAGCTCTGAGATCTATCACAGGGGAGCTCCAGCCTGGCCATGTTACCACTGTCATGGGCCCTCAGGTGCTGGCAAAACCATATTCCTCAGTGCCATTGCTGGGAAGGTAGCCGGCTATAAGATTAACGGTTCGATCCGTGTTAATGGAAAGAATGACAAAATCCGCTCTTATAAGAAGATTATTGGCTTTGTGCCACAAGATGATATTGTTCATGGAAACTGAACAGTGGAGGAAAATCTTTGGTTCAGTGCAAAATGCAGGTACTGATGCCTAATGATCATTGTCAATTATTCTTTCCGTTTCAGTACCTAACACAACCATGTCTAAGAACATATATTTCAAACAAGCAGGCTATGCACGCAAATGCCACAACGCGACAAGGTCCTCACTGTTGAAAGGGTAATAGATTCCTTGGGCCTTGAGACAATAATTAGGAATTCATTGGTTGGGACAGTTGAAAAGCGTGGGATATCTGGGGGGCAGAGAAAGTGTGTTAATGTAGGAATTGAGATGGTCATGAAGCCGTCCCTTCTTATCCTGGATGAGCCTACCTCTGGCCTCGACAGCTCTTCATCGCAACTCCTTCTAAAAGCTCTTCGCCGTGAGGCGCTTGAGGGCACAAACATTTGCGCTGTTATTCACCAACCAAGGTTACCCACAAAAAAATCATTTTACTAGAGATAATTTTGAGGTTTCTGAAAGATGATATGGAGACAATGCATGACGGAAACAGGACATCATTGCCTAGATCAATGCCCAATCAACTTCCCAACATCAGAAATACATATGTGGGAGAGCAAGGCCACCTCCAGTGCGACTTATCAAGACCTAAGGATCTGTTAGGAAGAAGGACACCAGGCATTCTGATTCAATACAAGTACTTTCTGGGCAGGTACACTTAAAAATCAATATTCTCAAGCTTGTGAAAATTTTGGACTGCTATTTTATCACTTTTTAGATTTACTTTCCGCATGCCATTGAAGGGTCACGAAACAGCGTTGGTGCGAAGCTGGCCTGCTTGCGGTTGATTTCCTAATACTATGCTTGGCTGGAATATGCCTTGGGATACTTGCAAAGTTCAGTGACCCGACATTTGGGATGCCTGGATATATTTACACCATAATTGCAGTCTGTAAGTTTAATACTTCAGTATCCTATGTGTTTGCACTCTCAATGTCATGAAACTTCCTGATTGAAGTTACTGTGGTGCAGCTCTTTTGTGCAAAATTGCAGCACTGAGGTCATATTCACTGGAAAGGTTGCAGTACATAAGGGAGAGAGAATCTGGGATGAGCTCTTTTGCATATTTCCATGCCAGGGACACCATTGACCATTTTAACACAGTTGTGAAGCCGGTTGTTTACCTCTCCATGTTCTACTACTTCAGCAATCCAAGGTCAACGATGGCTGATAACTACACAGTGTTATTAGCACATTGTAGCACCCGGTTTGCACTCTTAATGTGAGCCTAGTAAGTCAATTCTCACGTATAGCTACAAATAAAGGTAATATCCAAAGACAATGCTCAATATATAACGTACTTAGTATAAAGGATATAACCTTAGACAGCAAACAGCAGAAAGACAACTCCGATCTTCGGGTGAAGATTCCAATTCCACAGGAACAACTGACTGGTTGATCACAAGCCTAATTCCTCCAAACTCTAGCTATCTGGTACCCATCCAGAATTTTTCCAAAAGATTGAAAAGTAAAGCAAGCGTAAGTACATATCGCACTCAACAAATATAACATGGGGTTCATGAGGCTTAAATGGCTGACACTGATTTAACTACGATTAACTTTTAATGAGTCATGATTTTAGCAATTGAGTAGTAACAAGTTTATCACAAGCCCATGTAAACACATGATCAGGTAAACATGAATAATGAATAGCATAAACAGTAATCATTAGTGAGCATCTTCATCATCAGTATCATCAGTGTTCATCATCAATAGCCATTAATGATCATCTATTCCGTAAGAGTTCCAACGCCGCTCGTGACCGTGAGCACGGCTGATATACCAGTTTTACACTCTGCAGAGGTTGTACACTTTCACTGTGAGTCGTGATTTACCCTTTCGCCCGAGGTGATCAGCCTCTTGACCCACTACCAAGGAAGGTCGGCAGGATTCACTATGAAGCCTTTCAAAAGTTCGTCTAACAAGTTAGGGCCATTAGATTCACTCGGCAAACAGATGTAAAGCTCCCCTTTCCGATGGGATAATGACGCACAGCCTATACACAAGGGGACAGAGGCCGCACTGTACCCGATTCGGCAAGCCATTCTTACGCTAATAAAGGTAACCTCTTAACAAGCTAGAAAAGGTCATCATACTGAGCTAAAGCCAAAGCCATATAGCCCTCACAGTTGTACTATAAGTCCCGGATAATCACTTACAGATAAGTTCTTAGAGAGAGAAATCTAGAGCACCATAGAAACAACCCAATGCTTTAGCCTCCTTGTTCCATGTTGCTAAAAAACATCATTTAATATTTATTGCATATACCATTAGTCAAGTTATAAGATCATGGCCTTAGTTGAGCACTAGCATCATACTACCCAATGCAATAACCCATAGGAATCAAGGCACAAGGTATAAAGTACTAGGAAATTCTTAGTGGTAGTTAAGGTAGACACATGCAACATGAATTACATAATTAAAGGTGTATAGGACAACAATGATGATTCCATGTTATACTTGCCTTAAACTCTGTTCCTTCTTCAAGTCCAAAACTCCAAAGGAACTTCTTCTTGATCAACACGTAAAACTCAATGACTGTACAAGATCATTAAGCACCACACAAGCATCCGAACAAACATGCATAGCATTCAAACATAACTATATTAGAATAATACACCAATTAGTGAAAAAGAATTTGAAATCAAATCTACGCGTTGCTACGATCACACAGACGCGAAAAGCACGCTAATTAAAGCTACGGTGAAAAAGATACATCTACCATAGATTTGCTTAGAAAAAAAACTATAGGCTTTATTTATTTTAGCTTTATAAAACATGTATAAGATACTTCAGAGAAATACCTTAATTGAGTTAAGTCAAATTATACTTGATTTAGAAAACAAGGTAAAACTAATCATATAATTGACCAAGGTGAAAAGCCAAAGTTACTTTTAATTAGAAAAAACTAATTGCATAATCATTATTCAAGTTAGGCGTTAAACCATAAAATTCCAGGGCTCTTGACACGGAAAACATTGATACTAATGCGTAGATTATGTCGTTACGAATCTAACGCAACTTGAACGGGTCAAATCGGAGTTAAAACGGAGAAGATATGGCCTAATAAAGATAGTGACAATTTTGTAAATAGATGGAACTTGATTTTCAAATTTAAAATAAATAAAATCCAATTTTAAATCTGTCCAAGGACTGCGGGTATTATTTCATAAAAAGGCAGGGGCTCTTTAGCAAAAATGCAGGGACAACGGGTTGATTTGCGAAAAACAGAGGGTCTCTTTTGTAAAAATACCGGCCGAACCGGTATGGGTGAATCTGGGTTGTCGATGGAGAGATGGACGGCTACGGGCATACGGGGAGAGATGGTCGTCGGGGTGGCGCTCTGGCACAGCGGCGCGCCATGGTCGACGGCGAGAGAGTCACTGGCGACACTCGGGTTTCCAAACTAGACATCCAAAAGCCACGGGAAAACACGGGACAACGGCGGAGGCTACTGCGAACTCATCTGTGAGGTCGACGATGGAGTTAAGGCACTGGAGACGGTGGTGACGACTACGGGGCGGCTCGGAAACTATGGTGGTACTCCGACGAGCTCTAAAACGTGAAAGAGAGAGAGAAGAAGGGCACAGACTACACGGGCGTCTTGCTTACCGTCATGCGCAGCTTCGGGAAGAGCTCTAGTCAACGATTGAACGACGGTGAAGCCGGTCAGCGGCGGCGAACGACGGCTAGGGTTGCAGCACGCGGCGAGCTCTGTGCAGAGACGGCTAAGCGCTAGGGTTAGGGAATAGGGGTTGTGGCATGTGCGCTGCCGCTATTTATGAGGCCAGGCTGCTTGAGACGCACGCCAAGGCGAAGAGATGGGGGCACGGCGGATTCCTTCGGCGGCGTTGGAGTGAGGCGCGACGATGACTCGAGATAGGAGAAGCCCATGATAAGCGGTCCTGGGCTGTCAAGGATAGAGAAGGAGAAGAGGGCACCAGTGCTGGCGGCTGAGCGGGCCGAGCGCACGAGGAGAGGGGAGCTAGGCCAGCGAGAGGGCAGAGCAGCTGCTGCAGCGGGCCTGGTGCGGTGGCCCGATGGGAGAGAGAGGGAAAGCGGCAGCCAGGGCGACCGGCTGGGGAATGGGCCAGCGGCAGCAGGCCAGACCAGAGAGAGGAGAGCAGTGAGCCAGGCCGGAAGGGGAAGGGAAACAGGCCTTCGGGCTAAATTGAAGAAGAAGATGATTTTCCATCTTCCAATTCCTTTTCCATTTTCTTTTCTTATTTCAAAACGAAATTCAAATATAAACCAAATCGAATTCAAATATTATTTCAAATATACTTTCGATTCAAAAAATATGATAAGAACTCTTGGGAGGTTTTCAAAAATAAATTTTACAACTTTTTAAACTCTTTTATTTTGCAATTTTTTTTCTTTTATTTCAAAGCCATTTTCAAACTCTTTTCAAAATCATTTCAAATTGTTTTGTAGTTTTGGATCAACACCACTCATCACAATAAACTTTATGCACTAGCATGTATGCACAATAAGTTGCTAAAACTTTATGATATATTTTAATTTGATGAAAAGTTTTATTTATCTACGTTTTCATGAGCTCATAAAATACCAAAATAAATCGTTTTAATCCTATTTTAAAAGTACAAATTTTAGGATGTTACATGCACCATTGACCATTTTAACACAGTTGTGAAGCCGGTTGTTTACCTCTCCATGTTCTACTACTTCAGCAATCCAAGGTCAACGATGGCTGATAACTACAGTGTTATTAGCACTTGTGTACTGCGTGACCGGGATTGGTTATACTTTGGCTTTCTGCTTCAATCCTGCTTCAGGACAGCTGGTATGCATCATATTAATTACCATTCCTATTCCTATTCTGGGTTCTTTCATGAATTGTATTCTATGACTCTATTTTGCAGTGTGCTGCAATAATACCTACTGATGAAAATGGTCGAAAATGGTCGAAAAACTCCTAAATTGTTTTCTACTTTTACATTTGAAATACGAAAACGAAAGCG